CAGGGTTTGGTTGAGACAACAGAACCTGTAACCCATGAGACAGAAAGGTGAAACAAGAGCCCAGGTCTGATGAAGGCACATGAATTTCCCATCCTGTAGTGATTGTTGCCTCAAGGGATGGAGTCACCTTTGATACATGTGACCTTCCTGGCAGAGGATGAGGAGCTGTAGCTCTGGAGAACACTGACATGCCCTTGGTCAGCACACAAAGAGGGAGCAGAGGCGAGGAGAAAGTCACATCCTTTTCTGAGGAAGCAGTGCAGCATGCAACATAGGGCTCCATCCCACACAGCTGCCTGCAGTCTAAGCATAGAGAGGAATGCTGCATGGCAGGCGTTATCACTGAACTTCCAGGCCAGGACTGCCTAGTGGAAATTGTACAATGATGTTCTGTGTCTTTCCAGTCCACACACAGAAGCCACCAGGTACAAGTGGCTAAATGATTGTCATAATTAACAGTAAATTCCAGGCTCTTTCTTGACAAAAATAGGCTTAGCTGAGAGTTTGTGGTGTTGAGGAACACTTGGCAAATGAAATTCTACATGAAGATGCGATGTACACTAGTTACTGTAGTGAGGCTACCCTGGTTGTAATATCAATATCCTGGAGATTGTAAGGATGTGGGCAGCTTCTGCAAAGGTCAGAGTAGCTAGTGTGAGACATATGACTCAGGAAATACAGAAGAACCATTTTACAATTCTTAAGAACAATAACTTCATACACATAGTAGTATCAAAGTTTCAGTTTCACTTTCAAAAATTTTTATTTATTAAATGTGCATGCATTTGTTCCTGAGTGACAGGAGCCTTCAGAACCCAGAAGAGTGTATCAGCTCCCCTGTTAAAAGAATTACAGATAGTTGTGAACCACCATGTGGGTGCTAGGAATTGAACCTGGGGTCCTCTAAGTACATTTAACCACTGAGCCAGCTCTTGGTGCCCCAAGCCCTGCAGAGCTGCATTTGTTCTGAAAAGTGAATTGTATGTGTTCTTTCGGGACTGTGGCTGATATGTCCTATTCATCCTTAGAGGTAGGTTTCTCACCTGCAGCAAAATGCTGTGTATTTTTAGACTTAAGAGTTAAAACTCTGTTTTCTAGAACCCAGTATGAAAGGGTCAAATTCCTCAGGGCTCAATTAAAAAAAAAATCCTCAAAGCTTTCCAAACAAAGCTAAGGAGTTTGGACTTTATCTTGTGGGGAACTAGAAGCTCTAGATGGTAGTTAGGTAACAATGGAAATCACCAAGATGGGAAAATGATTGAAAGCTGCATGGCCTTCATATTAATAAGGTAAGAATATAGAATCCCAGGATGCACTTTGTGGCCCACACCCATGCAGTAATGGCCCCCTCTTCTCCTCTTTAGGAAAGTGCATAACATGAACTTCAGTGTTGTGATTGTCATAGATGCTGTAAAAGTAAAGTCTGAAGAAAGGGTTCTTCCACAAGCCAAAGTAGGCTCCTCTGAGCACTAAAGCTTGTCTGAAAACTCTGCTTCTGGGACACCAAGCACCCAAAAAGAGAAACAAACACCTCAAAGAGCTGAGTTCACTCTACTGCCCAATCCTCTACAGAGCTCTGAGTAACCAGTTAGGGCATGTGGAGGGATTTTGAGAATTCGTTTTATTAAATACAGTCCTTGCTGTGGACTAAGTTATTGTATAAATTATCTAAAGCAGAAGTAAAAGTTAAAAATAATTTCCAGTTATTTGCTACTCTTTACTATCAGCTAAGCTCTTGTGGCCACCCATGTCACTGTACATGCATGGTGAGAAATCAACATGATGGTTTGCCACTAAAAGTCTTCTCCCCCAACCCTGCCTGGTGATATGTTGGAAGTTCAAAATAGCCTAAAGTTGAGGTATTTGCACAGAAATTAACAAGCAGATGAGAGATTTTTCTGCAAAAAGGTAATATACATCTGTCAGTCTACCATTAATGTTCACACACTGCATCACTCTCTCCGTGTAGAGGTCCCCCACGACCACACTCTTTGTAATTGTAGTAGTCCATCACTCAATGATTCATCTAAGATAAAAGTTACCAAGTGCATGTTTAGGGTGGTGTGGTGATCTGACTACTTTATTTGCATTTACTTGGACTGGGTGATTCTTTATACTACACACACACACACACACACACACACACACACACACACACACACACACCACAGAGACACGAAGGCAGAGATTTTCACTTACTGGGCCTCATATATTGGGATGGCTTCCCAAGGCAGCTAAGACCAGATGCTGGCCTGGTCCCTGGGGTAAGGACTAAAAGAAGGGCACTGCCACCATTGTAGCAACAAATCCCATGGTAACCGTCCTGGGTATCTTTCTGAGGTGTCCAGTTCCTAAATGTCACTATGTGGCTAAGAACCCTATAGGAGAACTAATTTGTGATACCCAAAACATAAGTATATAGCTGGAGGCAGCAACAGCTTTTTTATCCAAACTATTCACCATCATGCCGTTAGGTAGACCCTCTACCAGGATGGCTGGGGCTGGAGATGGCTCATTGGGTAAAAGGTCAGGGACAGTGGCACATGACTATTTCTCCAAATACTGAGGAGAGGGAAAATATAGAGACAGGAGGATCCCTGCAGTGCATTAACCACCCAGCCTAGCAGAATCCTTGAGATCCAGGTTTGGTGAAGGGCAGTTTCTAGGCAGTAACTCATTCACTGCTGAGACTAGCTTTGCTAAGGGGTTGACTCCTCAGGAATATCTTCATGACCTTGGACTTGATAAGGAAGAAGTTGGGCTTTTTGCTGTTTGGGTTTTTTTTGTTTTGTTTTGTTTTTGTTTGCTTTTTTGTTTTTGTTTTTTGAGACAGGATCTCTGTGTAATCACTATGTTAAATCAGGATGGTCTTGAACTCACAGATTCTCCTGTCTCTCAATTAAAGGCATCTACTACTCTCCTGGTAGGAAAAGATTGTGTAAAGTAAGATATAAGGGAAAAAAATGGCCATGAAGACAACTTTTTAAAAAAGAGTGATAGATTTGTTTGTTTTTAATATTTATTTTTATTTTGTGTGTATTTGAGGGCACATGCATATAGGTGCCTCAAAAAAAAAAAAAAAAAAAAAAAAAAGAAGCCATCAGATCTCCTACTACACCTGGAGTTACAGGTGGTAGTGAGCTCACCATATGGATGCTAGAAACTAAACTCTAATCCTTCTGCTTACTTGTTTACTTTTTGAGATAGGGTCTCCAATAACAGGCTAGCCTTGAACTTGCTATGTAGCTGTGTAGCTGAGGATGACCTTGAACCTCTGATCTTCCTGCCTCTACCTCCCAAGTTCTGGGATTATAGGTATACACCACCATACATACCTAGTTTATGGAGAGCTAGGAATAGAGCCCAGGGTCTCATGCATGTTAGGCAAGCACTCTAAACACTGAGCTACATAAATCTCCAGCACAAATTGAACTTTGTTAATGTTAAGAATTCTCTACAATAGAAGACACTTAAATGGGCCAGAAAGGCAACACAGTAAGAAATGAAACTGTTGGTATATAAAGCAGACATAGGGCCCGTAGCCAAAGTAGGGAAACAAATGCAAATCAGTAGAAAAAGACAGCCCAGTAAAAAAAAAAAAAAAAAAAAAAAAAAAAAAAATCAAGGGCTCAGGCAGACATTTCAGAAACCCCGGGCTCTTTTGATGGCCCAGTGAGCAAGTGGAAAGGTTGCAGACTTGTCAGTTGTCAGGGAAATCAACAGGCAAATGGAACCATCAGTGTACAGTCATAAGTCTACATAAAAATTTAAAAACAGAACAGCAGGACCAGTGAAATGGTAAGGGCACTTGCCTGGTTCCCACAAATTGTCTCTGACATCCACTCATGCTGTGGCACCTGCCCCCAATAAATGCTTGTTTAAAACACACACACACATACAAACACATACACACACACACACAGAGAGAGAGAGAGAGAGAGAGAGAGAAAGGAACATGCTAGAATGTGCATACTAGTTCTGTTCATAGTAGCTGCAAACTGGAACAACACAAATACCCATCAGAGATAGACTGGAACTAGGCATGGGGGGAAGCAGACAGGGGTGGGAGTGGGGGTGGGGGTGGGGAAACCTATAATCTGAAGCTTAAGTGCCTTCTGCTGTATTGTGCCTGCTTTCTTTACTGTTTGAAGGTGAAAAGTTCTGGGATAGGTAGTTTAAGCTTGTTGGGGTGGGGGTGGGGGTAGCAGGGATTTGTTTTTGTTTTCTATTGCAGATGAAACAGTCAGAGGTGTTAAATGACTTGCCCAATCAGAGAGCTTAACCACTGGTGGAGTGGAGACACAGACCCAACATCACTGGTGGAGTCAGGTTCAGCAAAAGCATGAAAATCTTAGGTTTCCACCTAGCCTAGGGAATGAGACTCTCTAGCTCCCACTGGCCTCAAAGCAGTTGCTCAAAACCTGATTCTGCCACACCACAGGTGAAGAAGAGACCAAGTAGATGGAGAAGCTTAGGGTCAAACTGAGGGCCTCACAGGTGCTAGGGCAGTGGTCTGCCACTGAGCCTCCACACTCAACCTCTCTGTGCAAAAGTTATCTCTTCTCTGGAGCGCCCTGGGTCCCGGTCTATCGGTTCTAGGACTTATCCCTTTAAATTGTTCCTGCATCTCTGATTTAGGTGAACTAGGTGGTGTGTACCAAACGAAACTACCCCAGTAGGTCAAAAGAAGCCAAGAACAAGTCATCCCATAGCATTTAAATGTTCCCGCCATCTGAATGTCAGCTCTGGCGTGAGAGGGCTGTGTTTTCCTGTTGCACAGCTGTGCCTGGCAAATAAGTATTGCCATCGATGAATCCATAAGAGGCTGAGGAAATGTGATCCTTTGAAGTCCACACCAGGTGCCAAGGAGGGGCACCTTTCCTGCAGAGGCTTGGCGGGGGTGGGGCTCGCCCCTCTGATGCTTGTTAATGAGATTAGCAATTAAAAGGCGGGAGAGCAGCGGCCAGAGACCAGGACCTGACTGAGAGCAAGCATGGGACATGGAGAAGGCATGGCCTCAGTGGGGCAACTTGCTGCAGTTCGTGTTCCCCTGCATCTGTGGGCTTGGGCAATGTGTGGCCCTTCCACTACCTGTGCCAGATGTATGGCGGAGGTCAGTGCCCACTAGCAGGACACAGCAGGTGCCTGGACGCAGGTGGCGGTGGCGTTCTGTCCAGAGCGCCCCAGCTCGGGAACAAAAGTGCTTGGTTCTACGGGCTTCAAGGGTAAGTGGTTCTTACCACAGTCCAGAACCCAAGGCGCAGGGACTTTCACCCTAAGATACTGAGCCTAGTGGTCCTGAGCCAGAGCTGCAGCTCCAGCAGGTGCCTGGCAGAGGCAGGGAACCTGCTGTCCCAGTGTGGCAGGACAGGCACATCACCCTCTACTTTACTGAGGTAAAAGTGAGCAACCCACAGATCAGAAATTTAAGTCCCAGACCACAAGTTGAAACACAAAGCAAAAGTGTCATGAGTTGCTTCTTTACTTTTTATTAATAAAGAAAAAGATTGGTTTGTGGATGTGGAGGCTTGGTTTGGGTTTGGAATTATAGAAGGCGGGAAAAACAAATAATCCCACACATGGATACTTTGTTTCTTGCTCCTGCTCTCGTTTTGTTTTTACAATGTTTTCTCTGACAGGGAGTCGAAGGGGTGAGGGGTAGAACAGACAGCTGCAAACTCACCAGGCATTCCTGTTAGTGGAACAAAGAGCAGGGAACTCCTGGGACTCAGACCCGGACATTCCTAAGGCCAAGTACCTTTCTGAAGCCAGTATGGCATGAAGGAAGTAAGTCTCAGCATGTATTAAAAAAAATTCCTCTCCAACTCCATTTTTCTAAAGCCTTGTCTAAAGGACAAGTCAGCGTTCTGAGGCAGAAAATAACGTGATCACTGTCTTTTAATAATATCAAAATGTTAAAAACATTCTAAGCCCTTCAGAAAAGGGGGTTGGTTCAATAAATTGTGGGACATTCACCTAATGGTGCCCTTGACAGCCTTGGAGGTAAAGTTTTAGTAAGATTTTATCATATATTAAGTGGAAGGAGAGGAAGTCAGATTCAAAACTGGTAACATTTTAAAGCTGTTGTGCTTAAAAGCATGCATGGAAAGGAGAACTAAAAAAAGTATTCTAAAGTATTTAGAGTAGTTCCCTGGGTGTCTCTTGTTTACCTAATAGCATGAGTGTGTGCACCTGGGGGAATTAATCAGCACTTCTTTCTCACCCTCAGAACTGTGAAAGATGCTAAACTGGTGTATGACAAAATTTAACCTGTTTAAGAAAAAAATCTAACCCTCCCTGCTCCTGTTACTCTAGCCAGACCAAAATCAAGTCAACAAAAGGTTAAGCTATAGATTTTTAAAAAGTACATTCGTAATTCTCTGTCTCCTTTATTATAATTTAAAGTGATCAAATATGGCGTATATAGAGGACATATGCCACTGCATGCTTCTAAAGCTTCATAACTGGCTTTGGAGAGAATTATTTTCAGAAGCAAATTTTCATATCTTTAGTATACCTGCATTCTTTTACCTGGGTTCATAGTGGTTCCATTACTGTTTAATTTCTTGTTTATAATGGTACCATCACCTGAAAAGTCATCAGGTGGGTACTAGTGATGCTAAATTGTTTTGAAGTTGGTCATGTATGGGAAAACCTTTAAGATACTGGAAAAAGAAAGCAAAAGGAATTATAGATCTGGTACAGTGGTTGTTTAGCTGGGACTGAGGGTCCAGTAAATAAATGGATTAGTGTGGAGCAGGTGACAGGGGGTAATTGTAGGTGAGAATGTGTACAGAATAAAAACTAAAACCATTTGCCCTGCCACAGGAAGCATTTGACCATCTTGCTTGATGGTTCCACTTCATCCTATCCTATGCAATTCATATTCAATCCAGTCCCTAAGCTCCTCCCTTCCCCAACTACCCACGAGTTAGGAATCCAACTACCCATTAGGTAGCTCCTTCTCCCTACCTTGGCTGTTTTTTGTTTTGTTTTGTTTGTAAGACCCTCAGAATGAGGAGTCTCCTAATTTTGGTCGGTACCCCCAAGAACTCAATGTCCAGTCCAGTGGCTGCAACATGCAAGAGGCTTTAATGGACAGGAAATGTTTGCACAAATGGGCTCCTCCAGCATGCAGGCTAGAGAGAAGCCCCCTCCCCTGGGCACAGGTGTTTTTAAAGGCAATCCCACAAGCTTGGGGGGGGGTGGGGCCCTCTGTCCATTGAGTATGTGACCCTTTGAGGCCCGATGGTCTCGCTATTAGGGTCAACAGATCTTAGGGCCTCAGGGTGTGCTAATTAATTTTGTGTGGGCAAACCAGGGAGTTGCAGCTATCTCTTTGTTTTCTAAGGACACTATTCACCACCTGCTGACTCACAAGAAAGGAGGGGCAGTGTGAATTCTTGGTATCTTGTTATCTCAGGGCCTTGTGAGGGGAAGTTAGCAAATTCCAAGGAATATTGGTTTCCAGGTTAGTCCTTCATTTCAAGTGAGGGGTTTCTTTAACTTTACTTTTTTTGTCTTTCAGTTTACTTGGAGAACTCCCTTGTTACCTTCTTGTGTTTGTCTTTCTGACTCTCCTTACCTGTAAAATCAGATGAGCACTTGGTCATGAATGCTGGGAGCTTTAGAATTTCTCTTTCACCCTGCTCATCTAGTCCTCCGGTGCAGGGAAGCCAGAGGAAGAATCCCATTAAAATCTTACTGAACAAATGAGCCAGAGCTGCAATGAAAGCCATACATTCAGACTAAGAAGGTGGCTCAGTGGATTAAAGCACTTGCAGTGCAATGGTGAGGGTCAGTTTGGATACCCAGAACCCAGGCAAACATCTGGCAGATGTAAGAGTCTACGCTCAGGAAGCAGAAACAAGATCCTTACAGCAAGCTGTGTGGCTGCACCAGCCCATCAGAGAACTTTGAGCTCAAATAAGAGACCTTAGGTCAGTAAACAAAGTGGAGACTGATGAAGGAAGACACCCATCAACTTCAAACTTACTAAACGTGTGCACGTGCACACACACACACACACACACACACACACACACGCAAAGTCAATAATGGGAGATGCTGGAGGCACTCCCATACCCCTCTGGATCCATAGTAGTCAACTACCAGCAAGTTATTAATATCACCCAAACCCAAGTATTTTGAACTCGCTCTTAACCTCCATGGTAAGGATGGACCAGCTACAAAAGCAAAACTGTTGACGCTAAAGCAGTGATTCTCAGCCTCTAGGTCACAACCCCTTTGGCAAACCTCTGTCTCCAATATCATAATAGTAGCAAAATTACAGTTAGGTAGCAATGAAGATAATTTTATGGTTGGGGGTTACTATAGCATTGTAGGAAGTTTGAGAACCAATGTTCTTGAATATAAAGGAAGGATGTAAGATGTTTCCTGACACAGATGTAATCATGCCAGTCAACCAGGAACTTGTTTATAAACTGCCAAAAAACCTGGAATCAAGCAGACTGTAACTGCTCCCTTCAGCCAGTCCTGAACAAAGAATGTTAATTCTAAGGATTATGTTCCAGGTGTCCCTCCTCTCTGCACGACTCTGTAGTTCCAACTCCTACAACAAAGATGAAAAACAAAACCAACAAGGAGGTTGAAGGAATTTTACCAAATCACACTTTCAAAAAAGTCAGCAGACCAAAGTCCAAGATGTTAATTACTTCCGGGCTGCATATGGGCTGAATACCAATGTGTGAAAACACATGCACGAACGGTGTACTTGAATGCATGTAAAATGTTTGGGAGAAAGGCAGCAGTCATGTGACTGAAGAAAGATATTATGCATCCCCCCTCTTAATTATTCTCTAGATGATATTTGAACAAGGGGAAAATTAGAGGGCATTTGATTCTATAGAGGGTCATCATTCTCAGAGTTAATGTTCCATTCCTCTTTAATGCTTCCCTTCCCTCTCCTTCCCTACCCTTTCCTCCACTTCCCTTCCCTTCATTTCCTTTCTTTTCCTTCCTTTGCCATTCCTTCCCTTTCATTTTATTCCTGTGCTTTTAGTCCTTTAATTCTGCCAATTCTCAAAATGTTGCTTTTTTTTTTTTTTTTTTTTTTTTTTGAGATAGGGTTTCTCTGTGTAAAAGTTCTGGCTGCCCTAGAACTGGCTCTGTAGATCAGGGTGGCCTCAAACTCATCGAGGGCTGGGAGTAAAGGCATGAGCTACCACCACCCAACCAGGATCTGACACTTTTAAACAGCTCCTGTTGAGATCATACCTTGGAAGAAGATTCAGGGTTATTCAAATGTCCCATTCTATCAGCTGCTGGGGGCTTAGCCTGCCACCCTGGGTCTTAAATCATAGCATTAGCTTTCCATCCTAGTATAAACAGTCCCACTGTGCCTGGCTCCAGAATGCCACACAATTCTAGGGTGAAAGCCTAGAAAGAGGTGAGGATGGCTAGGTGTGTGAGCTGCACCAGAAAGGCTTGTATACACCACTGGAGTGAAGCGCTATGGCGACCATGGCTCAAATAAACATTCAGCCTGGGCGTGGTACACACCAAAATGTTTAGGAACGGATGGGGACTTACCCTACAGTGTTTACTTAAGAGTGTGTGCACACACATTCAGGCTGTGTCTTGTGTTGTTTCTGTAGTTCTGGGTAGAACAGAACCCGAGCGTGAGAGAGCAGGTATTAAGCCTCTAGCTAGTATGTACAATTCCCAAACTGAGCTTCCAGGTATGAGGCCATAAAGTTGTGGTCTAGGCCATAGAAGACCCCTCTGCTTCTCTTCCCTGGTATTTTCAGCATCAGTCCTGGTAACAATCTACTCCACTGGGCTTCATGCTGTAGAACATTTTCTACAGATGTTCAAGGCAATCTTTAAGCACTCCCAGGATTGACCCTGTCTGTTACAGAGGAAAAACATGCCCAGGAAACCAAAGGTGACTTCAGGAGGAGTAACAAGGCTTAAACCATCCCTGTCTCCAAATTGGGACTCTGAAACTCTGCTTCTGTGTTTAACCTGATAAAGGCTGGAACTCCTCTTGAGGCTCTTTCAGTCAGGGCTTTGGGTAAACATTGGAGGTGGCCTGGCCAAGAGCTTGGGTGTCCTCTGTGCTCTCTTTTAAAGGTCCCATGTACCTTTTGTTCCAACCTCTTCTCTAGTTCTGCCCTTCTCTGAGTGCACATTGGAATATCTGATGTCCTCCCTCTATCTATGAACTTGGTCCCCTCACCATCTCCTGGAAACATCATTCTCC